GAGACACTGCGCCCGTCGATGTTTGTAAAGATGCCGCAGAGTTTCATTAACTTTACGCAGTTTGTTTCTGGACACATGCGTACAGCTCTCAGCATCTGGCTGGGAAAACAAATATATATATATATAAAAGAACTATTTTTAAATGGCAAAGTGTTTAAATTCAAAACTTCAGATTACATAGAAAAAAAACCCCAAAACATTATGATTGGCAAAGCATAAGGGGCCTTCGAGATAATGTCCTGCCCCCTCCCTCCCTCAGCTCCTCGCAGCAGCGAGGAGTTTCAGCTCTTTTGTCTTTTCAGGGACTAAGTTAATTTTATTCTACTCAAACAGTGACTCTGTTGCAGACAAAAGGAAAAATGAAGACCCACTGCAGTGAAACAAGTTTTATAATTCATTAAAGTGAATTATCTTTCTTCCCCTACAAACTGCGTTAGGCAGGAGGGAAAGAAAAAGAAAAGAAAAAAAAAAAACAACAAGCGAACTGTTAAACCCAGAACTTGTCATCGGCAAAAACCTCATCGGGAGGAGGATTTCAGGTTATCCATCTCACTTCCCGGCTCCCCTGCTCCTCCGAGGATGCGACATCAGGGCGCAGAGCGAGATCTCACACGTCTGCTTTGCGAGTCTTGGTGCCGGGATGCGGACGAGAAAGCTTCTTGCACGGAGCGGAGGAGAGAGGGGCGTCAGAGCTGACTTACACCCCCCAAAGCACCTCACCAGGGCGGACAGTTTGGGGGAAAAAAGGTAAATTTAGTCTCCGGGAGGCATTTCAGTAGGACATATCCTCCTCCCTTGCTGGGAGCTTGAAGAAACATGCTTCCATCTGTTTCCTTGCTGGTAGGGACGCGACTAAAAGGTATTTGGGCTCCGTACAAGAGGGATAAAAAAGCCTGATCCCAACACACGAGCGTGCCCAGACAGCAGGGAGAGGTCCGGCCTCTTTCCTCCAAAATCCCGATTCCGTAGCTTCCTTCTTGGGACCCCTCCGCCTCGGGAAGAGGAGGGATGCACCCATCCGCTCCCCGGGGGAACCCCGGCCACCCGAGACCCTGATATCAGGCCCGGAAAGAGTCGGATGGGGAAAGGCAACGCTTCGAGACACCGCACGCAGAAGAGTTTCTATTCCCTGCAAATATTTATCTTTCTGCAGTTTGGTGATAAAGATCCTGTTTCTAGCCCCCGATACCGAACCAGAGCATTAACTGGAGTGAAAAATAAGTATTTAAATGCTTTGTCTTCACGTACGGAAGCACACAGCCCCTCTGCTCCCACGTACAGACAGGGCATAACCCAAAGCTGCAGGTCCAGGAGACGGCCACCGGGCAGTAAGCAGCGGCATCCTCTTCCCGAGATGACAGATGGGTCTTGGTTGGGTCTAATCCCAAAGAAAATGGGGATTCCCGAATTCAATTTTCTGAGATTCAACGAAAATGAGGCCTAAATCTAGAATACTCTGGAAAAAACACACTGATTGGCTTCAGGCAGTTTGAGCTTACGGTCACTACAATTTGCCCCAGAAGCCCAAGTGCAGCAGCACCGCTACCACCGACCCTACAGGGTCCAGAACCGGGTGGTTTAAAGCATTTTTAACTCTTCCCTGGAACCGAAAGGCAGACGGCCACAAGTTGTTTTATTATTAGCACCGTCCGGCCCCCCGAGCAGCCGTACCGAGCCGCTATTTTGACGCAGGCGCCCGAAAGG